GATGGTCTTCTTTTAGCTTTAACTCCAACCTCTGTCGCATATAAAGGTTACTGTAATATAATTATATTACCAACTTGTAACTACTAACAGCTGCCCTGAAAAGCCGAAGTACCCAAAAATTATTTTAAAAAGAAAAAGAAGGAAAAAAAAAAAAAAAATTGAGTAGGTAAATATGTTGAACTATCAGGGATCTTTTGGTCATATGAATATCTGCGACTAAATATCTGGCCTTGAGTGATCTGACATGGTGGTGACTGGTCGTTACTTTTTTTTTTTTTCCTTTTCTTTTCTTAATAAATATATCTTATAATAGGTCTTCCGTCTTCAAATAAAAATTCTAAAACCCCTTCTTTACAAATATTTGTTGTGCAAACAATTTTTTATGCGCTGTTTGGAAAGAAAAAAAATTAGATGAAAGGAAAATAGGAAGGGATAGATGATATTATCAGAGAAGAGATTATGTATTTTATATATATTTTTATTCGATTAGATACAAGAGAAGAAAATAAATTTATAATTTATTATGTTCGTTAAAGGATAAAGAAATATATATATATATATTTTATTATATTTACCATTATATCTAATAATATTTATAATAGTGTAACTTATAGATGATAATACTCTAATTTAAAATTTTATAAATTAATAATTTAAAATTTCTATAATAGTTTACTTCTTTCGCTCATTTTTGTAGGAATGTACACGGTCCGATTTGGTTTGGTTTTGAGAATTTTTGGAACCAAACCCCTCCCTACGGTTCCAGAAAATTTGAAATCGAACCAGACCATTTGAATCATGGAACCGAAAGAACCTAAATCGTGAAAAAATGTTTTGATTCGGTTCAGTTACACAGTTCTAGTTGAATTTATTTCCCTATTTCTTTTCCCTTGAATTATATATACAACAAATAAATAAATAAAAACATTCACATTCCCGAGTCCAAAACTAAAATAGAGAGGGGAAAATGGGTAAATTAGACCTAAAAGCTAAACCTATAAATTAAAATACGGTTAAATCTTACTGAAACTGAAAATAATGACAAATCCGTAATTGAAAATTAAAAAACTTGATTCGTTGTCATTGTTGGTTGTGCTTGAGGAGCAAACATGATGTGTGACTTAGAGATTAGTGAATTGAAAGTGAGAAAGAAGAGGAGAAAGTGTGAGAAAGGATGTCACCGACAGTAGTGATAAAAGATCGATGGCGATGAATAGGGTTGCAAATGAGCCGAGCCGAGCCGAGCCGAGTTTGAGTCTGCTCGGGCTTGGCTCGTTTGTTTACAGGTGTGCTCGGGCTCGGGCTCGGGCTCGGCTTGTGACAAACTCAAAAATTTGAGCTTGGGCTCGTCTTAATTTTAAAAGCTCAGGCTCGACTCGTTTAACAAAATAAATAAAACTCAAACTCAAACTCAAAAGTGTTTTTTTTTTGTTCCTGAATGAGATTAATATTATATATAAAAATAATAATGTCAAGCTGAATGGAACCCTCACTCCAGAAGATCGAGACGAGACTGTCAAGCTTCAGGTAACGCAACCGAAAGGCCCCAATGGACTTTATAAGAAGAGGCGAAGAAGACCAATCACTTAACCCTCACTCCATAAGACAAATTTGAATGGAACCCTCACTCCAGAAAGACGAATCACTTAACCCTCACAACCAATTGGCCCCAAGGGACTTTAAAAGAAGAGGCGAAGACGATGAATCACTCACTCCAAAAGATAAATCCTCTTTCATCTTCGTTGGAGACTTGTGGAGTTTTAGATAGATGAATCGATACATCTGCTTCTTTACCTTTTGTAAAAAATGAATAAAATAATTTGATTTTAGGAGATGGAGTCTTGGAGATAGAGTCAAGAGACGAGAATCATAAGATAAAGAGGCTTCGTGTCAATACCAGAAAACGGAAGGAGATTTTCAAGAAATAAGATTTCCAATGATAAAGTGACAGGTGTGCAATAGGTTTGTAATTTATTCTTCCTTTTTAAAATTTTTTTATTTTTTTATTTTGGGTACTTATGCTATAATAAAACCATATATATATATATATATATATATATATATATATATATATATATATAACTATAATGAGCCTTATACGAGCTTTGTTCACGAACATTAACGAGCCTAAACGAGCTCGTGTTCACGAGCCTATGCAAGCCGAGCCCAATATTGCTCAAGCTTGGCTCGTTTACTAAACGAGCCTAAAAATTGGGTTCGAGCTCGGCTCGTTTGCTTAACGAACGAACCCGAGCTATTCATGAACAGCTCGATTCATTTGCAATCCTAGTGATGAATGAACTTTGAATGTTGCATGGGAGAGATTGATCAACAACTGGATCCCGTGACAATGATAACTAAGAAGTAAATGAGCTAGTAGAGGAATGTTGGCATGCACCAAAAAAATCAAAACATTGGGAGGAACAAAAAGCAAATAATAAAAAAAAATTAGATAGTGATGAATGTTGGCTCACGTTTGATCGTTGTGCCGAAATCTCTTACAAAGTTAAGAGTAGTATATAGGTATAGCTATAGCTATATATATATATATATATATATATATATTATAATGGTTTGGTCTGGGTTGGTCTGGTCTGTAGGACTCTAATCCGGGACCGAACAAAAAATTTATGGTTCCATTATTTTAGAATCATGACCGGTTTGAACCACTATGGAACTGGCCCAGACCGTCCGATTTGGTCCAGTCCGGTTTAGTTTTTCGTGTTGATGATTATTTTGCACACCCTCTACATTTTTTGGGGCATGAAAATTTGTAAAGTATCCTTCTATCATCCTTACCAAATAAAAAAAAAAAATTAGTTACTTCCGTCTTATTTTTTCTTTACACCTCTTCCTTCTCACCGAACACAATATTAGTGAAATATATAAAATATATAATTCATTGTTTTTTTCTTAAATGATAAATACTAGGATTTTTTTTTTAAACACTAGTAATTGAATTTTGAATTGAGATAATTATTTAAAAATAGGTAAAAATATAAATATAAATACTTTTTGTGAGATGGAAGGTATAACATATTAAAATTTTTGTACTATCAAAAAAGTTGTAAATCATTACAAATAAAGGGAAAAGGTTATATTTGATCCGAGACTTAAAATCCCACGAAAAAAATATATTTTCAAGTATTTGCGTCCCAACCTTACTACTTTATGCGTTAGTGTCCAAAATACTAATTAAATAAGAAAAGATGAGGGACTGAATTTTCGAGTGGATTGAATAAATTGATTTAATGTGGCAACCATTTATGTTTTGTCCTTATTGTTTTCCATCAATAATCATTAAAATGGAAATAATAAAGTGGAAGAGAAAAAAGAAAAAGAAAAAGAAAAAAGAAGATTGGTCTAGTCCCTAAAATGGAGGGGCTACGTATGTCCTTTTTAACATGTGTGAGCCATGCTGTGTGAATGTGACAAGCTTTTTGATTGGACCAAAAGGCCCTTGAGGGAACTAAGCCCCTCACATTTTCCAAAACAACAAAAGAAGTCCCACTGAATCATCTCATAAACACCACTTTTACTGCTTTTATTGCTCTGCCCTACCTTTTCAGCCGGAGTTCGTAAAAAGTGAAAAAGTAAATGGTAAATCAAGACCAGCCATAAACCGTGACCTTGCCCTACTTCTAGCTTTATGACCCGGGGTCCAGAACCTCTGGTGTAGTCGCTTTTGTACTTGTATTGCAGTGTTTATCTCCGTGTAAAGACCACTTCTTTCAAGTACCCAATGCAATATTTCAAATTTCAAGTATTGGTTTCGGTGAACAGCTCGAAATTGACTCGTTTAATGTTCATTTCAGACTGGTTCATTGAATGAATGATTTAAGTTTAAATTTAATTTTTGAATTTGTTTAGTTAATGCATCGATCCCAAATATTGTAGACTCGATTCTAGGCTCGTATGTTTTCATTAATATATATAGACTTGTAAATATTTTTATAAATATGAGATGAGGGTTGCTAGTCCAAGGCATCCAATAACAATCTCAGGGGGTCATATCAGCGTTGGTAGAAATTCGAGAAGTAAATTTTTAAGGTATTGTTTTCGATCCGTACTCATGACTTGAATGGTACATGTGCTGTGAGGCGAATACACGTGTTCTAAAAAGTCTAAAATTACATTTTTATTCTAAAACCCTCTTTCTCTCCCATTTCTCTAAAACCCTCGCCATTTCGAGTATAAAATTTTGTTCTTTAAAATTCAGAGGATTTCTGGTTGAATCAAAACCAAACTATTTCTCTCTAAATGTCTCTGTTTCAATAGTGAAAAACAGTAATCAACCAGTGAGAGAGAATCAAACACCAATGTCGATAGAACATCCCCAAAGTTCAAAGTTCACATTTTCTCTATTTAAAATTTTCATTCTTCAAAGTTCTGACCTGAACACCAATACATGCTTAAGCCTAGCACAATTTGTAGGGAAGAAAAGACAGAAGGGAGTACACGAATGAGACACAAAATTTAAACTTGCACACCACCAAATTATTAATTTCCAACGCCATAAATCAGGCAACACAAGATACCAAATTGATATAGCAAATAGAGAAAAAGGACACATATTGAGTTTTGCAAGGGCTGTGGGATTGTGTTAAGTACTAAGCTACAGGAGAAGAAAGCGCCAATGCATATTGAAAATTAGGAGTGATAATTCGTTTTCACCAATTATAATCATGTCCGGTAAACTTAAGAGTATTCTACTAAATATGTCAAACCGAATATGATTAATTTAATAATGTCCCAGACCCTCAATACTAACTCAGTCTATTTATTAAACGGGTTACACGTGTTAGCCTGTTTAATAACCTTTTTGTTTAACGATAAATTATATTATTTAGATTAATTATAATTCTCAATAATATATATATCCAACTACTTCTTCGTTTGGAAGACTCTCCTCTACAGCACTTGTAAACTCCACATTACCACCCGACCCGGTCATCTCCATTAACCCGCATGCTATAACGCCTAAAAGTAGCACACAGAACACTGCTGTACTACTGTAGTCTGTAGGGGTTACAGAGCCCTGTAGAGAGAGAAAATGATTCCACAAATAAACCGCAAAAATTGGGAATAGGAAAAAGTATTCAGAAGAGAGAGAGTGTGAGTGAGTGAGTGAGGGGGCCACTTTTTTACCTTTTGTTTATGATGCACGCGTCCATGGCAGAACAGAGAAGGGTAGTACTCCTTCAGCGAAACAAAGAGGAGGATCAAAGAGTTCTTGAGAGAGAGAGATATGGAACTCAAAAGGAAGAGGAAAGGCTGGAGGAAGCACAGTATATGCTCTTTGGGTAAATGGGTCTCTTGAGAGATTCATGGCCTTGAGCTTGATTTGAAGTTTGAGCTTTCAAAAGCCGTCAAACCAAGTCCACAACTTTCAAATCTGAAAAAACAAAAAAAAAAAACCCATTTCACTTTCTCTTCATTCTTGTTCTTCTTTGATCTTTGTAGATTTCTGATCTTTGTAGATGAGAGGAATGCAATACAACTTGCAAGGTAAGGTCTCTTTAGAAGTTGCAGGTTTGGGTTCGCTTTCTTCTTTGGAACCCAAGTGGAAGAAAGAAGGCAGCTGTGGAAGCAACAAACCCATTTCAGTACTGGACATTCAGAGGAGTCCGAGCCCGTCAACGTCGACATCGACGCTTTCTTCATCGTTCGGCAGCGGAAGAGCCGGCGACGGTTGTGGGTCTGGTTCTACCGAGTACACGGTGAGTGTGGCGGCGGTTTCCGACAATAACCCCCATCAGAAATGGCCTGTTTCGATGTCGCCGGAAACTGGTCCGGGAGCTGTGACGGAGTCCCTTTCCGCCACCACCGTCGGTGATGGCGGTGGCCGGAAGGACGAATTGGGGGTGGATCTCCAACCAATTCCTTATGGGTTGGAGGTGTCTGGATTGGAAGATTGGGAGAGTTTGTTGTCTGAATCAGGCCAAGACCAGTCTCTTCTCCGGTGGATTTCCGGTGATGCCGACGATACCTCGTTCGGCCTCAAACAGTTGTTACAGGGGGACGGCAATGTTGTTCAAAGCTCGGGTTTCGGTCCCGTCTCGGCCGGAGGCTCTACTGGTATTCTATCTGCTGCTTGTGGTTCTGAAATTTCTTCAAACGACAATGACAACAGAAGAGTTGGTTCAACATCAATGGTTAATTGCAAAGGTCCCAATTTTGGGTTGAACAATTCTAATCCACAGAACTCCATTTCGACATCTTTGCTCAACAATTTGCCTCCTGGCGTGGTTTATCAGCAACAAGAGTTTCAAACCCCAGATGAGAAGCCTCAGATTTTCAACCCACAACTGTTCATGAATCAACAAATGTTGTCTCAGGTATCTCAAATTACTACTCAAAATCATAAATTGTTGTCTCAGTATGTCCCACAAGACCATAATCTCCACCTCCTTTTTCAGCCTCAACCAAAGCGCCAAAATCTGGGTGTTGTAGACCCTCATTCTGAAATCCCAAAGGTTGCATTTGTGGATCCAAACCACGAGTTTTTACTCCCAAAACATCAGCAACAGTTGCCACCACAATTGGGTTTGGCTCAACAGATGCAGTTACTTCCTCCTTATCATCCCCAACAGAAGCCATTGATGTTGCCTAAGCAGGACGCGGTGGGCGGCTCAGGCGACCGACTAGGCGCTCGCCACCACCATCACCACCAGCAGCAGCAACAGGTTATATATGACCAGCTCTATAAGGCCGCGGAGCTAATACTGGCTGGGAATTTCACACACGCGCATATGATATTGGCGCGGCTCAATCACCAGCTCTCTCCTGCAGGAAAGCCCTTTCAGAGAGCTGCTTTTTACTTCAAGGAGGCTCTGCAATTGCTCCTCATGCCCAACTCAGTCACTTCTCTACCGCCCGCGAATTCCACGCCATTCGATGGCATGTTCAAGATGGGTGCTTACAAGGTGTTCTCTGAGGTTTCACCACTAATCCATTTCGTGAATTTCACTTCCAACCAGGCTCTCCTTGATGCTCTCGGTGATGCTGATCGTGTCCACATAATAGACTTTGATGTTGGGTTCGGTGCTCAATGGGCTTCCTTTATGCAGGAGCTTCCCGGGAGGAACAGAGGTACCTTGTCATTGAAAATCACTGCCTTTGCCTCTCCTTCCACTCACCATCCTACCGAGCTTGGCCTAATGCACGAAAATTTGACACAGTTTGCTAATGAAATTGGTATTAGTTTCGAGCTTGAAGTCGTGAACTTTGAAACTTTCGACCCCAATTCTTATTCAATGCACTGTTTCCAATCGCCAGAGAATGAAGCAATTGTTGTGAATTTCCCTATCTGGTCTTGTTCTAGCCGACTGTCCGTTCTTCCCTCTCTGCTTCGCTTCATAAAGCAGCTTTCGCCCAAACTTATGGTATCACTAGAGCGTGGATGTGAACGGATGGACCTGCCCTTCTCACACCACCTCCTACACGGCCTTCAATACCATGAGGTTGTCTTCGACTCCATTGATGCTGCCAATCTGACTTCAGACACTATGGCCAAGATTGAGAGATTCCTTTTCCTGCCCAGGATTGAGAGCACTGTGTTGGGGCGTTTAAGTGCCCCGGACAAAATGATACATTGGAAAGCCCTCTTTGCTTCTGCAGGGTTCTCGCCGGTTGCATTCAGCAATTTCGCTGAAACTCAGGCTGAATGTGTGGTGAAGAGAACCCCAGGTAGGGGATATCATGTAGAGAAGCGCCAGGCTTCGCTCAATCTATGCTGGCAGCACCGGGAGCTCATGTCAGTTTCAGCTTGGAGATGCTGAGCAGCAGCAATTAGGCAGACGAGAAGAATGGTATTTAGTAATGCACATTTTCTTGCTGAGTTTCTATCTGACTACTATGTGATGTGATATTAAGTTTGAATTATGGTGGTGACAACTATTTTATGGCTTAAATTCCTGTCTTGCTTGTGTCTCTTTTGCTTATCATCTATCCGTCCGAGACTCGTAAATGTACTAGTTTTCACGGAAAATTTTATGTAACTGCAAATTTTGTAGTTTCATTTCTTTGAACATATTGCTGCTATGATATTTTGATATGTAGACAAAGAGGCTGCACTTTTTCTGGCTAAGTGGTGATTTTTTGTTGTATGTTTGACAACAAATGAGAGACTTGAATGGAACCTATACAAGAATTTGTTTTTGTTTTTTTTTTTTAAGTGATGTGGTTGTATCTTAGCGCGTTGTCATGCCCCCACCAAAGAGTTTGCGTCGCGACAAGCAAGTGCTTCGAAGGTTTTGGCAAGAGATTTGCTTGGTATGTGTAGAGAACTGGGTAGAGTCTTCCACACTTAATTGTGGAGTGTTGTAGAGTTATGGAGGATTTTAGAAAGTTGTAGCAATTTGTAGAGTAGAGAATATTCTAGAGAAGTGGAGAGTAATGTAGTCCTTTAAACCTAGGAATGTTCTAGAGGTAGATCTTTGATTGTATCGCAACTAGCCTCCATTAGGAAGAGTATGTATATATAACTGATATTAGTCTTATATTTGTGGATAGTCTTGGGAGTGAGTAAGAACTAAGAAGAGAGTGAGTGCAAGCTCACAGTACCAACGTCTTTATTTAGGTGTGGCAGAAAACCGATGATAGAAATGAAATGCGTTATTTTAAACAATTCAGTACCAACTACTTAGGTGTGACACATAGGTGTGACAGAAAACTGTTCATAGAATTTGAAGGGAAAAATATTTCTCAACACACCAAACTATATTGTATGTTTTTATATTTGAAATATAAATTAGAAATTTTTTATGACGCGTAAACCCTTGTTTACTAAATAAGTACCCTGTTTAGTTGTCATGTATTCGTGGATAGTTGTATACTACTACATTTGCTATAGCTATTCCATAAATATGGTGGTGTTGACAAGTAAAATATATATTGATTCAGAGTGGAGGTAGTGAAAGCATAATGTCATTTTAATAAATTTTGTGTGACCAATCTGGAGACGGTTTTATTGAAAAGGATGGTTCCAAGGGTACACCTATTTGACTGAAAATAGCTGTATAGATTTAGCTCCTACCTGTTTGACTGGATAGCTATATAGATTTAGGGATGGTAAGGAGTGCAGGGCGAGTTTATCAGATAGACATATCCTTGGAACAAAACACGGAGCAGTACTAGTTTAGTGGACAAAAGGATACTATTCATTCAGCCATCGTTTTGATACCTGTCTAGTCTTTTTGATTTTGTTTCCAAGTGTTTGTACGAAATTTGGCATAAACTTTTTCATGGTATAAATCTAATAGAAATGTGCTTATTTAGTACTTTATTCTTAGATATGAATTGTAACCTACCTGTATTTGTTGGAAATGGATTCATGTTCAAACTTAAAACAATTAGAAACAGAAGATTCAGGAAATATTCATCGTTTACCAATTCATAAGAGGAAATGACATGACAGCACTTTTGAATCCTTTGAGAACTTAGGACAAAGGTCTTGAAATGCAATGACCCAAGATAGCAAGATCGAGAACATTTCTTGCAACATCTCTAACCATATAGGTTTTTTTTGTTTTTGTTTTTGTTTTTGTTTTTGTGATAAATCCTCTGACCGATACATAAAATAACATGGTTGTGGCTGAAATTTTGGCGTGTCTAAAAATCTTCATCCCCTTGCATGCATTGCACCGAACACCCAACGCGTCCTTCTCTGTTTCTTTAAAGAAAAACTAATTAATTTGTTAAATACTTAGGTGGGTTCTTTAGATTATTTAAGTGCTCGTCTTGTCGTCCATTGAATTTGTTTTCATTAGGCATAGTTTAGACATCTACTAATCAAACCACATGGGTTCTGTTTGATTGAACTTCCCGCTTGAATACTTTACTTATTTTTCCGTGGCTTTTCATGTTGGACCTCTTCAGTTTAATCTACTATTGTACATCTCTTTCATTAAAAATAAAGGTTATATGATAGTTATGGTGGACCAAATTGCAGGTGGCAATTAAATATATGGAAAAATAATGCTGAGTGTGGACCTTTGCTTTTAATAAACACTAACAAATTAAATGTCGCTTTCGTTGAAAATGAATTCCTATAACCAGCCCTTGAAAGTGCTCTGAGACATCCGAAGGGTCTGTTTGGTAGGAGTTTTGATTTTGGTACCTTTTTTTTTATGGGGTATTATAATAATAAATAGTAAAAAAAACGTGTTTGGTAAAAAATGTTTTATTTTGTATAGTGCTGAAATGTTTTATGAATAGTGACCAAAAGTCAAAATATTAATTTAATATTTTTACATATTTTTGCACTGTAGCAATGCTCTGAAATAAGCTTTTAAAACTAGCTATCATATATTTTTTTTAACTTGCAACATTTATTTACCAAATATAATTTTATATTTTTATTTTTAAAAATTTTGCAACAAATACGCCTTATCAAACACGCTTCCAATTACTATTCGAAACAACGTACAACAAAATATTTGTTTTGTTTTGAGTTAAAACAAAAACTCAAAAACAACAACGTACAACAAAATATTTGTTTTGTTTTGAGTTAAAACAAAAACTCAAAAACAAAATGCTTACCGAGCATGTCCTAAGTAATATAATACTTGATTAATTATATGTATTTATTATTATTATTGTAATATCCACAGGGGGAGAGAGACTGATTATTTTTATTTTTATTTTTTATTTTTTCAATTAAAGAGTGAAATTCATCCCAAGAATGGTCCCTGGCCCAATCATTATCAAGTGGTCCACTTTAAAAGCCTCATTTAGCTCTCCGTTGATTGGAACATGGAGCCAGCTTGTGTAATTAGCATTTCTCCTCTGAAAATGATGTTTTGATATTATTTTACTGTTTTGATTTCAATTTTTTGAGTTGATAAATCAACTTAACAGAAAAAAGCTAATACAAAATTTCCTTTGATTCATGTTGTTTATCAATGTATAAACATTCGAGAAGGTCAATGATATTTTCTGGAAAACAGGGAAAGTTCTCATAATAATAAATAATAATGACTTAATTAGAAATGGTTGTATATTACATTTTATTCTGATAATTTTAGTAATATTTATTTAATTAATATTAGTATTTTTTTTTAAAAAAAAGGATACTTAAAATTTTGGGTCCCCAAGAGTTTGTGATGCATTTAGGCTTTTGATGCGCAAGTGGTCCAGTCCACCCAATTGATGGCACCGCACCACCTTCTGGTTCAGGTTTTATGGTTTGGACCATCATAACTCCTGGAGGTTAAGCATGCATTGTCTTTACAGCTGGATATGATATATTTTTGGGAAAAAGCTAACTCCATAGATATACTCCTCAGTGACAGAGTTGAGGCATACAATTTTTTTTTTTTTATAAGTGTTATTCTTATGTTCTGAGCGTGTTTTAGTTCTTACACTTCACGCGCTCTCGCTCAAATTCTCTTTACTTATGATTTAATTTTGTTGCTTTCACGCTCTCGAATTCTTTTTCGCTTTCGCTTTATATAACTTAGGAATGAAGTATATATATATATATAAAAGAAAAAAAAAAGAAAAGAAAAGAAAAGGTAGTAAACATATTACATGCAGAACTGCATTGATTGGGACCCTTTTCTGTGCAATTTTGGGTCTTGGTTGACAATGCAACAACTATTTAAAAATGTCGAATATTATTGCATACACACACACACACATTGTGTATGTGAATTCAAATCTGGCTAAGACTTAAAATACGTTTCCGGCCTTCATATTTAATGGGGAATTCTACTCGTTTTATATATGCCAACATTTTAAATCCTCCACTGCAGTTGCAAAATTGGTACAGAAATAGTTTAATGTTTATCCTAATAATTGAGCAAGGGCAAGTCCGGACACATAAATGGACAAGAAGGCCGATGAATTCAGTCTTATATTGTTGGCAGAACATGTTGTATAAATTATAACTTAATGCTAATAATATGATGAAGTCGGTTAACACTAATCTTAAAAGTTGTGAACCTAATCTGGTCAACCTTTAAATTATACATTTCCCTACATTGTTAGGTAATACGAAATATAATGTTTAATAAGGGTGAGCTGAGTAGTTTAGTTGGTAGAGACACTCTCCTGAATTATGTAGGAGTTCAGGTTCGACTCACCCCATCCTTTTCTTCCTCTGCCCTACTTGCTATATATATATATATATATAAATTTTTTTTAATAACCGAGTAATACAACAATGTCACTTGGTTAATTATAACCTCTCTTTGTCAAGAGTCACCTCTTCATGTTATTCTCTCTCAATTTATAGAGAGAAAGTAAGGAATCTCCTTAATTGGAAACAAAGGGAAGTTATTCCTCCACCACCTCTCCCAATGAGGTGAAAAGAGAGCAAAATTTTCTTCAATGACATGAGTTTTGAGTCTCAAACATGTTGCACATTGCTGCATAGTCGGATATTAAGTGAACTCGGATTCTCTTCTATATGCATTTATTTGATATGCATTTGTACATTATACGTTTTAGTGTAACTAAGACGAGGATGTAACACTATTCAACAATATTGAATCGTGAATACAACAACGAAATAAAAATATTGCATTTTGATGTAATATATTATTAGAATTTTACAATTTTGAAGTATATATATTATATGAATATTGTTTTCTCGATTTTGCATTCTCAATTTAAAATTAATGTACAAAATCATACAATGAGAGGATCTAATCCACTTAAAGCTCCACACTTGTTTTTAAGCCTTCGAATCACCTTCCCAATACAAAGCATAATGATAGAGCACTTTTTCATTGTTAAGTGGGCAATTGCTTTTGTCATCAACAAGTCTCCTAGGAGTGAGGGATATTAGTCGTGGACCATATATATAGATGCTCTCATTTAGACTAAACCAGCTTTTGGTTCTGGCCCAAGACATAGGTGAGTGGGTCACCACTAATCAAACTTCTACTAGCCCAAACCACCTCTTCTTTAGCAGCTAAGAAGAGTCACACACATTCATTATTACAAAAAAAAAAAAAAAAAAAATAAATAAATAAATTCTATAAGTTTCACATTTTCCCACTTCCCTAGTTAAATATAAACATAAGAAAGTTGTACATGTTATATAAAAGAACTAATAGTACCCCAAATGTGGGCCTCTCTTTT